TTCTTTTTTTTTTTTTTTTTTTTTTTTTTTTTTTTTTTTTTCTTTCGCTTTGGAGCAATGCACCGCGAGAGGAGAAAGAGAGGAAGACAACACGCCGGGAAAACGAGCCGAGAGAGAGGGAGAGGCGAAACTAACGCGCGGACAAAGTTCAAGATGGACGCGCCTGTGTTTTCTCGCTCTTTTGCCTGCGCCCACAATAATTATATAAATATACACTTGCACGTTATTTAATATCGCAACAACGCGGCCCACCTACCGCTGGTTGTACCCTACCATGTATCATTTACGCCTCCGCTTCGCGGAGAAGTCCTACGTGACTCCGATTTTCGTCGTCTCTCTCTCTCTCTTTCCTTTCATCTGTATGTATGTGTTTGTGTACATATAGTGTAGAAACGGTACTTGCATACATATAAAATTCAGATGAGGAAATAGTCAGGGTGATGACTTTTCCTTTCGATGCGGTCATTGGAGAGGAAGAAAGTTTAGAGGACCAAAATGAGAAAACCTACTTACATCGCAAAAATTTCACCTAGTTTTTCTTTTTCATTCTCTCGTTAAAGTATGCACACCCATGACGATGCTTTTTATCAAAGGGGACGCTCCTCGTGTGCCTTTCTCTCCCTCTCTCTTTCACTTCCTCAGCTTCCTTTTTTTTGTCATGCCAACGCCGTTCGAGTACCTGTACTTTCGTCTTCCGCCTTTCGTTCATACCTTGAATGTACTTAAAAGTTATTTACCCTTCTCTCACCGAAAATTTTGGAGCAGCCTGGGCATTGGCCTTTTTTCGATGTATATTAGGTATCGGGAAAATCTTGAAACGTTTATAAGCATAACAACACCTTAGACTTGTGTGTACGACTATACTTACACTCGTAACTTTCGATGAAAGATTACCAGTTAGCTCGTGCGTTGCGGTTACTATTGTTTACATTTATGGTACAATACTTTTACTGTCTCTCCTTTTGTGCTTCGAGGTAATGATTTCCCCTTTAGACAGTACACTTACTTAATATGTATTATGTCGATTGCGTACACAAACGCTGATATATATTTTGATCGACGCTAAAGTTTCGCTTGCTCCGAAATTCCTGTTAATTCGCGTTTTTATATTTTCATCCAACAGTTCTCGAAAATTATACATTTCATTTTTCTACATTATAATCCTTATCACTGAAAGAGATAGATTTTCACATTAAACAGTAATGTTAAACGTAAATAAAACTATTATTGTAACTTACAATCTGATCAATCGTGTGATTTCTGTTTACAGTCAAATCCTTCGGAACAGAAGACCGGGAGACGCAGTTCCCTGTGGCTGCTCAAAATCAAGTGTATGAGTACATTCTCTTTAGAGGGTCCGATATCAAGGACATCAAAGTTGTCAACAATGTCAGCTCGATCCCTAACGATCCAGCTATCATGCAGGTAAAATTTATTTTCGTTTTCTTGTTTCCAACCAGCACTATGATTATGATTTTGATGGATTTGTAGTTCAGCAGTTTAAAGACCTTGCAGGGCTTTGTTTGTGAAGTGACTTTTGATCATTGTTTTGAATGGAAAATTTTATCGTGATTCAACTTTTATCTATAGCTCATCGGTATTTGAATAACTTGAAAATGTTGTTTATTTTAAAATTGAATCGAAACAGTACATGTAACTTTTATACATTCAAAATCTAAATTCCATTTGATGCTTGAAATAATTATTGAGATAATATTTTAAAGGCTTACAGCACAGTGAATTGGAAAAGTAAAGTTTATTGTATGAAAATATACAATTTTTTTTCATCAGAATTTTTATTTTACTTCATTTACTTTTATTTCTTTTTATCTCGGTATATTTACTTGAAAAGAAAAATCTTTTATTTTTACTGTAGATCGGATGTTACATTACCGCAAAATATTTTCTCTTATTAATTGCTTAACATTTTTTAAACTATAATGAAAAAACATTTTTTAATTAATTTGTGGTGCTTAATATTACCTGTTTAGGAAAAACAATTGCAATTAAACATATGTNATAAAAAAAAGTTTCAAAAAATCGAGCATTGTTTTTTTGAAGCTTTTTACGTATTTCCCAGAGCACAAAAAATTATGATTTGACTCTTTATCATGCATTTTTCACTTGTCATAGAATTATCATAATTTTTTCTTAAAACACATATCCAATTCTTGCAGATGACGGTGCAACAATCGATGGGACAACAGCCCTTTCAGCCACAACCAGGCTATGGCCATCCAATGATGGGCCAAATGAATCCAATCAATGCTCAATTTGGACCTTACATGCCAGTAGGTGGTATGGGCATGATGATGGGAATGCCTAATCAGAACCGACAGCCAATGGGAAAACCAACAAGTGAGTTGGGTCTCGGTTCTAGCGAGCCCAGTTCGATTCAAATACCAAACGTACAGGCGGCAGCGCCAAATGTCGAACCCGTGCCCAAAGATCAATCTATAGAGGATGGTAAACTGTTTTTGCTATATACTTATATGATTCTAATGATTTGCCAATGGCATGCTTTACTGCTACCCTGCTACTGCTACTGCTGCTGAGGTTTCCTGGGCTTTTGCACCATTGCCTTTTGTGTGAGAGTATGTATTTTTTTTTTTTCCATTTACTGTTGCTTGATAACAATTCTCTGTAAATCTGTTTCAACGCTTTTTCTATTGCAAAATATGTACTTTTTTCGTAAAATTGCACATTTAACTCAGCACACGTTTTTTGGATGTTTTTTTGAGATAGTAACTTGCTTTGAAAAATTTATTTTGCTTTTTTTGTTAACTTCTTTTATTTATTTGTCTTTTTTTTTTTTTTTTTTTTTAGTAGAGATTTGAAAACTAAAATTTTGCTTTTTTCTAACCCTCTAGCTTTGAAAATAAAAATAGTAGATTACACTCTTAGGGAACAAAGGAAAATTGTTGAAAAACATGTAAGTATATTATCGACCGAACTAAAGGCATGCGATCTAAGGCTTTCTTTACGTGGTGTTGATTCTGTTTTTTTGCCTACCTTAACTTGTAACAAGAATCCTGTTCTTGCATAGTAGCATCAGGAGTATTACTTTAAGTCGTGGCAGAAAAAAAATACATTATAGCACTAAGTGAGTTTTTATAGAGCTGGTGACAGTAGACTTGTTTTATTTGACATTTTTAACCACTTTTTATATTATCTAGTAGTATTGATATCTTCATTTTTAGAGCATTATGCTATTTTTATTTAATNACATTTATGGTGAGAAAAAGGCAAAAACTTCAACAATCAGCAGTATGGCTACCACGGCTACTTATTGTTGAAATTGTTGTCTTTTTTTTTTTTTTTTTTTAATTTGAAATACTTACTTGCTTTAAGCTTGAACCTGCAAAACAAGAGGACTTGGGTGACTTTTATGAAAAAATGATTAACTTCGGTAGTGTAGTTAAAACGTAATCATACAAAAATACTATTAGGAAATGGTGAAAACTCCTGTACAGTATGTGCAGAAATTTATTTAACGTGATTGTGCGTTACCAGAAGAAAAAAGACATTGCAGCAGTACCAGGACCTACAACAAAAAATACGAGATGAATAATATTTATCGAGAAAGAGAAAACTATGTTTGCAGAGTATTGTAAACTTCCATCTCATTTTGTTTTGTTTCCCATCTGATGACACCGTTGGGCCATTTACGTATAATACGTAGAGATTATTATTTCACGGATCCTTAAAGCTCATTTTAAAACTAAAGACGTGCCGTGTAAGATTTGCGTGTCTCGTTACAATAAACCAATGGCGCATAAAACGATGAAAATTTGTTGGGGGTACACCCGATAAAACATCCGTACATAGGTACAAATAAGTTTCAATGCAGCCGGCGCATATATAGATAACACGTACAATGCATCGGGTCGTAAAACACTATTATTCCCCATACAAGCCTCCGCTCGATTGGATTGAACACTGTAGCTGGCAGGCAGTATTACCAATTTTTCACGCCAAACATCGCGAAATCTCTCCCTTACTGGCGCTCGTGTACCGCACACTTCCTCGTTTTCACAACTGAACAAGTGCACCTACGGTACACCCATTGCATACATAATATATACATGTATATACCAACAGCAGCAACAACAAAAGAGCACGAGCCACTCTCGGGTATACACAGAGAAAGAGATTAAGTATTAAAGTACAATATTTGTATATGTATATAATATAATGTACATACACTTTGAATATAATTTCGCTTGTTTTTCGACACAGAAAGCTGCCATTAGTAAACCGCAGTAGATGACTATGAGAAATTGTAGCAAAAACAGCTAAAAGTATTATCATGGATTATTTTATTATAATTTGCTACTCAATGCACGCAATTTATTACTCTCATGGTATTTTACCAAGTCAATATTAAATTAACAATTCTTTATGGAACATCATATCCCTTGAAAAAAATTACAATCACGTATCTGTTAACGTGCGTGTAGTGATGCTCATACATCATGCCAAGATTGGACATTCATCCCATGAAGAACGTTTGTCAATGTTTGCTATTTGCATACTCTATGTATGGTTTAACCATTCTACCTTCGTCCCCTTAATTTTCATCACGAAAAAATTCTCTGTTGACAACGTAGGTGTGTTAGACATAATTAGCGGAGGTTCGCGTTCGACGACGCCACCATCTCTCCTGGCAAGGAAGAGCCCGTCGATAGACCAGAGCGTGCAGACGAACCAGCAGCAGCAACAGCCCAACAACATTGGCAAAATCGGTGACAAGACGAATATGCGCAATAATCAGATCCACCGACAGGACAGGTGCACATACTTGGTTCCTATATTTCAGTTTAAGCATTCCCTAGCCAAGGTTCAAACATTGACCTGTACAACGTTCTAAATAGGTTTGAACCACGTAGCCACGGGAGCGGTAGGACGAGCAACATGTCTCAGTACAGCGAGGGCAAGCCCCATCCTCAACAGCAGCAGCAGCAGCAGCAGCAGCAGCAGCCGTCACAACAGTACAAAGATAACCAGATGCACGGATCCAATCCAAACATGCGCAACCAGAACCGTGGCAATCAAGGTGGCTGGCAGATGAATCAACCACGAGGTGGTCAGATGCGTGGTGGACGAGGTGTCGGTGTTGGTATTGGCGGTGGTAGCGGCGGCGGTGGTGGTGGCGGTGCTGGAAGTGGCGGTGGTGGTGGTGTTATCATTGGTATTGGTGCCGGTGGCGGTGGCGGTAACAACCGCGGACCACGACCCAACTTCCGTAATCAGCAACCCGGTGGACCCAAGCCAAAGAATAGGCTCAAGTTCGAGAATGATTACGACTTCGAGCAGGCAAACACGGAGTTTGAGGAACTTAGGTACGAGCAGGTTTATTTTATTTGATGATTTTTATTGCAATATCACAACTTGTTTAATTAAAAATTTTCCTTAAGAACTTTTTACTGATTTATTTGTAAGATTACTTTAACCAAAGAGAGTAATACGCTCCGTTTATCAGTTTGACACTTATCGTCATTTATTTTGTTTTTTTTCTGTGCACTCGTGTCCCGTGCATGGCAAGTGCCGGTTGTGTTGCAAGTAATTCTTTGTAACATCGAAGTGGTAGCCATGCAAAATTAAAATCGTGTCTGCATGTCATGGATGATCCATTTGTATATTGGATCTTGTGATCTTTGTGTAGTCACGATACAATCTTAAATTTACTTTTTAAATTTATTTTTTCTTAAAATAAAAATATGACGAATTCAAACGAACTAATATCCATTTTTCTGTAGATCGCAGCTGGCTAAGACGAAAATCGACGGTGGAGAGAGCGAAAAGAAGGACGATAGTGGCAACGAGACCGCAGCGGGCGATAACGAACCTGAGGAGGAGCAGTCCGAAATTATACACTATGACAGAGCCAAGTCGTTCTTTGACAATATTAGCTGCGAAGCCGTTGAGAGGAGTAAGGGGTAAGGAGTCCTCGTTTGTTCAAACTCGTCAATTGCGAATCTTCTTTTATCTTAATAATAAAATATCCATTTTTCGTTCATAGCCGATCTCAACGCACGGACTGGCGAACAGAGCGTAAACTTAATTCCGAGACTTTTGGCGTAGCGTCGATGCGACGTGGAGGCTTCCGTGGCCGTGGTTACGGCTACAACAACCGCAATCCCATGGGTGGTGGTAACATGTACCGCAATCAACTCGGTGGTGGCAACCAGAACTACAATCGCGGTGGCTACAGAAATCAGCGGGGCGGCCAGCACAGAAACCTTAACAATCAACTCGGGAATGCAATGGTACGTCGGATTATTGTCGCGTTGTTTTTTTAATTTTATTTTGAACACTATTCTGATCTTCTCGCTTCGATTAGGGATCATCATCGGGCAACCAAAGCAATCGCAACGTAACGAGTAACAGTACGAGTCATCCGAGTGAGCAAAGCAACATCAACACGAGCGCAACGACGTCAGCGACCGCACCGGCGCAGCAAACCAGCCGCCTCGTCACTGGTACCGCGTAATCAATCTCACGTCTCGTCGAACCGCGTTTCTCGACTCTCATTCTCACAAAATCCTCGCGCTCTTGCTCTGACACTTGTACTCCATGAAGATGATAACACAAGACAAACAGATTGGTTTTTTTTATATTATGTTGGCGCGCCTCACTCGTTGGATTAATTTACTAGCTGTTGGTGATTCCACGACGATGCGTGAGAATAACAGAAAGTTCTTGAGTGTTCGCAAACAACGTATGTTGCAATGAATGGACGAAAAACAACGGGTTAGTTTATTCATAAGTATTAATTAAGCAAGTAAGACTTTGAATAAGGTTTGGCGCGTGATTGAGAATCGAGAAGTTGTAGGAGAAACGTTAGAACTGAGAACGAAACGAATAAAAAGCGCGTACAATGATGACCCTTTTCTTTGTGATTGCGTCAACGGCCGATTTTTGAGGGAAGTAAATGAAGTGGATTTTAAACGCTTAGAATTATTGTTATAATGCAAGCACCAGATTAAAGATAAAAAAGTATAAACGTAGTGGACGAATTTAAGAGAGAAAGAGAGAAACAAGTAATGAGTGAAAAAAATGTATCTTCGTAATTGTATGCCTTATAACCGGTATATAATTTATTTGTGTATAAAGGTAAAAAGGTGGAGGTGGTGAAAAACGAAGTGCGCCGGATGCATTTCGAGTTAGGAGGATTATCAAAGGAGTTTCCTTTGCACAAGAGAAATTGAAGGTCGAAAAATAAAAAATTTTATAAGCTCATGCGACCACGGCACGCGACACTCGAATAATACAAAATATATCGTCCACTACGACAATGATGCATTATTATATATCGTATATACATGTGCGTACACACCGTCGTTAATCTTTTTTTTTTTTTTTTTTTTTTTTTTTTTACAAAGAGAATCGTGAATTGTGCGTATAGGATTAGTTCCTGAGCAAAGGAAGGAACATGAATTAATAATGTAAAGAACGAGGCGCTGAAGGCGGAAAATATACGTTCAAAATTTTTTAGTAATAAAATTAAGATGAAGGAGTGGCATCGTAAAGACAGGCGACCCATGGTATAGTTGGATTGTATCCGCAATGTCGGAAGTGAATGGAAAAAGACATGTTTTGATCTTAAAAAAAAGCAAAGATATTTCGCGCGTTCAATCTTTGCAGCTCCCTTTATTGACCGAATGATTATTGAAGGGATATTGAAAAAATAGCATCGTCTTTCGAATGGAATTCCGAGCAAGACTCGATTACGATTTCTCTTTAGTGAAAACTTGTGTTTAGTCCTTACGGTGTTTACTACTGATAGTTTTTTACAAAGACGTAATAAAAAAAAAAATGAATAAATTAAAAAACGAGGTGTATAATCTTGAGTAGTATTGAATCTTGAAGTTTCGAGTCCAAGCGAATGAACAAAAAAAAAAAAAATTTTAAGAATCGAAGCGTATGATCTCTCTTTCTCTCTCACGGTGCCGTGGTGTCGCAAATATTGTATAATAAACAAAAGAATGCAAAGATGGAAAACTGTGTAAAAGGAATAATTAATCATTATCTCGACCTATAGTTGTAATAAATAATTATAGTAACCTGCTTTGATACGTCGTTGCGCGGAACAAAAATTAAAATAACTATAATGAAAAAAAAATCGATTAGCTTTTCTATTTCAAGGAGAGCATTTTATTATTATTCAGATTACCAGAGCCTGGTACAACTTTTCTTACGAAGTTGAAAAAAGAAGCAAACGAAATAACACTAAAAAAAAGTATGACGCGGATGCACGTTCTTTGTATCTTCTCGCTTACACAATAACAAAAAATTAACAATTTTTTGCCCCAAACTAGAGTAAAGGTGGAAAGAACGTGCGATCGGTGTTGCTTAATTCATAGAAATATCACGTCTTTGCAGGTTACTCCGTAAATAAAAAAAACGAAACAAAACCGAAGGTGTTACGTTCCGGACGAGTATCAAGGCGCGTGCGGCGATCTTGGTCAATGTATTTTCTCCTTTTTTTTTATTCCCACTAAAATTAAAGAAAAAATAAAAATTTAATAAATATTGTGGGGTCGGATGAGTTGTGAAAAAAAGCGCTTTCCATTTTTGAGGATGAAAAATAGATAATACGATTATCTTTATAACATGGAAAAAAAAGAGATAAATAGTCGAGTCGTTTTACTTTTATAAGCTTAATAGGACGGTTTGGGGTTTTTTCATTAGGACGGACGCATCAAGCCATTTTTTTTGATTTTTGTGAATCGAGAGTTGGAAAAAAACGTGTCAGTGTGTGCTCTAAGCAGAATGTAAAAATTCAAGTATCATGAGTAGTATTTCGAGCCTTATAAAAATTATAACTCATCGCTTAGTGATGTCACGGACTCTTTGTACAAATAATTATAGGATTATAGATTTGCAAGACATTGAACTTCTGTGTACGCTTGGAAACTCATGATACTCGATATGTAACACAATAAAATAGGTAAAAGTGTAATGTAATATTCAAATGATGAATGCATGATCGCAGTATGGGAAACAAAACAAAAATTAGCAAGAAGCCGAAAAAAAAAAAAATCGTAAAATGACGTTCGTTTATGACTGTTATTTTTGTATGGCTCTTGGAAAAAGAGTCCCCATGTGTGTAACGCGTCATTGTAAAATTAGGAATTATTTAGTTGAGGTACAATAATGTAACGTTCAGCTGGAAAGCAAATGAATTTGAACAAAATAAGCCCGAGGCTTATGTTAAAGAACCAAAAAAAAAATAAAAATAAACGTGTGCAACGTTATTGGAAATAATTTTTCGAAACCATCGGCCATTTTATCAATTTATGATCTCCTTTTTTTTTTGTCTTTCTCCACACCACGAAACCCTACGATATGTGCACAGTCATCTGACAGTCGTATAATTAAATGTATTTTATTACATACTAATGTGATTTTTTTCTCCTAATTTTTTTTTTTTTTTTTTTTTTCCCCTCAATTTGTACAGCGCATACATTGTGATTTCCAAAGCTAAATAATACAAGAAATAATATTTGACAAAGTGTTTTTATTATTTATCACAACCTTCACACAATTGATATGATTTTCTATAAAACGATGCGTAGAAAAATTTAAATAACTCTATATTTTTTCAGAACAAAAAAGCTCCTTATAAACTGGTTTATCTCAGCTGGCCTCTCAACTCGACTCGACATCGGCTCTCTACCGTCATTAACAACAAAAGCTCTTTGAGGCACGCGATTTAATTTGCCACCGTTTCTTCCATACAGGAACGACGAGTTTTAGGTACGTTATGCATAAAATTGGCAAAAAAGGACTCGTACGAATTGTATAATAGAAAAAGTTTAATCGCCCTACCGATGATAATACGGTGCATATAAAAATTTACATGTGGATGGTAACGCGAGTACATGACCCCTTCATGATACGCGTAGTATATTATATTTATGTTAGTGAGGACTGAGGAGATAACGAGCGAAGGCGATCGAAACATGTGTATATTATACCTACGTATGTAAGTCATGTGGATGCGATACCGGCGTACGACGAATAAATTTTTTTTTCTCCTCCAAGCTTTGACGAAACAGTCAGCAAACGCGTGATTGACGAGATCGACCGATTGATGGAATCGTTTAATTTCTTTTATTTTTCTTTACTTCGCGCATCGACGTAGAAATGTGAAATATTGAGCCAATGAACGATGCCCCAGCAGCACGTAACGTTGTAAAAACGTTTTTAAAACGTTGCTTTGTCAAACGGATATTGCATTTGCTGGGTGACAATATTTGAAGCTGCAGGAAGCTAATTCACATGTTGCGTACATTTTGACTATTATTTTAATAAACAAAATGATGTAGGTGGCAAGTATGACGAACACGTCTGTAAACTGATAAAATACCAAACTAGAATGGCTTGGCTTTTCCATTCGAGGCATTGCCATTTAAGTATACTTGGATGGTAAAAACAAATCGAAACATCATTACCATGGAAAACTCACCCGTAAAAGGACGCAAAAATATATTGTAATTTTTAATGTTTAACGAGCTGTTGGAGAACGGTCTCGAGTAAAATCAGGAGTATATGTATAAAACAGCATAGCAGGTTTTCTTCGTACTTTCGTCATTGTTCGGTTCGGTCCAGTTCAATTATATCGCTCAAGATGGTCAAAAATTAACTGTACATATACGTTTTTACATAAGTTTGTCTCGCTACGGCTCGTTGTTTGGCAACTCGCAGCAGAGCCGAATAATTGTTCCGTTAACTGTGTAATTGCAATCATCTATACGTGTACGTATTAATAAAAGGCGGAAGTCCACGATGGATTATGTCATTGTCAAGCTCGCTATAGTTAAAATGCGAAATTCGTTGCCAAACGCTGCTCATTATCCATTGTGCACTCAGTTCTCATATATCGCGTGTGCGTGCTAGAGAGAATTGTGTACGATTTGCCGAATGTATATGCTACATGTGTATTTTTCGGATTTAAATCGCCCCCGGAGTTTTTATGGTTGCAAGAGATTAATTTATTGAATTTAATGTGATGATTTCAGCCTCTCTCCTCTGTAATAGCGCGAGATGTGTTTCGGGAATTGGACAGCGAAATTTCTCGGCTCGTCAAAACAACAATCGAAATCGTTGGCTTCGAACATGTGGGAAAAAAATAAAATAAAATGCTTAACTTTTCATTTATCATCAGAAAGGCAGACATCTCGTTTTGAACAATCCACTGCTTTTGCACGCTTATTCACTTGGTATTTCATTTTCATGGATTGTTGCCTTCATACAAATGACAAAAATAATGGTTATTTATCCAAAAATATGTGGACTTTGGCAAAAACATTTTATGAATTTTTAGACATTTCAAAGAACATTTTTTTATGAAAAAACTTTTTTTTCGATAAATGTTCACAATGCGGTAATAAAAAAAAATTTCTGACAGATTTATGTGGTAAATTTTCAGTATTAAAGTTCATCGAAAATTATTTGAAATAAAACATTTAAGTAATTTCTAAATACTCCACTTTTTTTTTTTTTTTTTTTTTTGTATAATGGATTGCTTTTGCTAAAGACATTTTTACTAAGCACACTACGTTACAAGTAGTAATTAAAAAATTTTTTAGCATAAATAATGCACTTACACGTCTAGAAAAAAATTGTATCTCAAAAAAATTTTGAAAGTGTTCATGGCCAAGTCTGCAAACAGGTGGGGGAAATACGTTGCCCAAAAAGTAATTATTTTCAAGAAAAAAAGCTTTCAATTCGTTGGCACAAAGAAGTTTTCTACTATTATTGGATGCTATTTAATTTTTGTTCTTTTATTTAACGTAAGTCTTATCTTAAATATTTTTTAAACCATCGAAATATTTAATTTTTGCTACCGACGAAAATCACTATTTTTTATCGCTACGAAACTATCCCAATATTCAACGGCATATCTATAAATATAAAACATTGTTCTATTCTTTTAAATTAAATCGTTGTTTTCAGTTTAAATATAAAAAAACTGATATACACATATACATAAATACTTACAAACAGTGGCATTAATTTTCATCAATTTTATCATCGCAACCTCGATAGTTTAATTATAAAAATTACCGACTGAATCATCACCGCGAACTCGCAATGCCATTAAGAGTAATTGCATAAATCAAGGAGTTCGTCAGTCCATGAAACCGCTTGTACGAAATGTACATAAATTTAATATTTAAAAAAGCCTCCCGAAATGATTAGATACATGAAAATACTAAAAATCGGAACAATACTCGTGACATAATCTAATAAACAGGTAATAATTAAAAAAACCATTAGATTATAAAAAAAAAAAAGAAAAAGTATTTAGCCAAAGAGCCCAGAAAAAAATGAGACATGGCAAAGATGAATCAAGCCTAGTGTCAAGTCATCGTTTTTGCTGTATAGACGCCTGCATCAGCCAGCCAGAATAGCATCGACTCTTCCATTTGAAAATGAATATGAAGAACAAAAGAGAGGGATTCGTAAATTATGCCAAAACTACGTTATAAGTCCAGTACGTACTGGTTGACGTCTGATCTTTATAGTAATTGGATGGCAATACTTGCACAATGTACAATTTTTCGATCGAATATTCGAGCTCGAGTTGAACATCGCTCGATCGACGATCCGAAGCGATCGTCATTTTATTTTTCCACGACAGATAATAGGGGATGGGTATATACTTACTGTAGTAAGCTTCTAAGATAAAGTGCACCACAGGCCAATGAATCGAGCGCGTGGCACGGCTTGTCTTACCCCTTTTTTTTTGTTCAGTTCTTATACATAATGTATGCTATTTTATTTTGTTTCTGACCAGTTTTTTTTTTCTTCTAAATAACAATAATAGAAAGCTGTCAATTGCCATATCGGCAGTTTGTTATTTTAAGTAAATTTTACAGATAACTGTCACCTACCGTATTGGCAAAATATAATTTGACCTTTCTAAAAAATTATTTTGAAAAAAAAATCATGTTTCAGGGATGGTCTCTTAATTTTTAAATAACCAGTGTCATATTGTACTGAATTATGATTAGGTATTTATTTTTATGTCTTATATTTTTGTTACGGTATTATATACTTTTAAAAAATTGTCTTTCTTTTCTCTCTTTTTTTAAAAATTATTTTTTATTAAATGAGTGTAGAAAGAACATTTAACTACGTTTTAAATACCACCTCAGCTATGATGGATCTCATCAAATCAATATTTTTTTTATGTACTGATACAGGTTTTTGATTCATACAAAAATTTTAATTTCCATTTTAAGATATTTCACAACTCTCAATCGATGAAAAAAATCGAGTTAAATGACCAAGTTCTACAGAATAAAATTATTGTTTTTCATTGCGAAGCAAAAAATAATTTTTATAAAAACGTTCCGAGGAAGTAAGTCGCAATTACGTACTATGGCGTTAGATGACAAGAAATAATCTGGTTATCAACGTTAAAATTAACTCCTTTTTATATTGGAAATAAGTGTGAGTACTATGTTGAAGAAAAAATGACTTCAAGAAAATCGCTGACTTTTCATGAATAGCAAGTGATAATATATACTTCTATTAGTTTATTAAATACATATACATGCATATTCAAATAAATAACAAAAAAAGTGTGGGTAAAAGAATTAACGAAATTGCATTTTACATAATTTTTATCTTTGAAAAACTTATTTAGATGTAACATTTTAAAATTATATTTAAGTATATTTTTTTTAATTATAAAAAATAAGTCTACATTATAAATCAAGTCACATTTATTATTTGAAGAATACTCTTTAATAGTTTAGAGTATTACAATTTTTAAGTTGTGTGAAAAATTATCAATTTAATGAAATCCATGACTATTATTACGTAAATCTCGCAATTTTTAATATTACATCAGCGTCATTGCTGATTCGTGTGAAATTTACTCGCATTTTTTTCTGACACTTTGACGCTTAAGAAAATCTGTTAGTTCACATATATATCGTTTTCGTTTTTTGTTCATCATCATCCTTTTAATAACACGAGAATAAGCTGAATTTTATTTTATTTTTTACGAATAAAAATCAATAAACAACTCGTAGATTCCAATTGAATCGAAGAATTTTTTAAAACAATCACTTTTCGGTAAACTTACAAAAAAATAGTAGTTTTCGTCGGATAAGTGCCGATGGCGCTTATGTGGCGAATGCTATTTTTCCTACCGAGAGCACACCAGCCTCTCAAAAACGCTCAAGGTAGGAAAAATAATAATATTCAGCTAGTGTAGTGCTAGTGGCACGTGCGTACCGGAGTTAACTCGTTACTGTACTATTCGAGAAAACCCACGATAAAAACGTTGCATACTTGTAAAAGTATCGTACGGACTCAAATAAATCACTTAACAGTAAAGAAAAAAAAAGTTAGTTATTTATTTCATAAAGTGTATCATAATTGTTATCTCCGCTGCGTCTCTCCAGCCGAAGAATCAAAGCCCTATACATAATACTTGTATATACGTATACATTCACTAGTTCAGTGTGTCTGTTAGCGATACGTCTTTATATTTGTTATTGATCTTTTTAAAAACAACATCCCGTCAGACTTCGTGCCAATCACCCCCTTTTTGAATAACAAAGTGTACACCCGTATGTTGTACGCAAAAGGTCGATTCAGCAACAATTCACAAGCGATTGTAACTCGTTTTAATTTACTTTTTTTTTTTTTGCGACCCGGAAATATATTTCAAAGTTAAAAAATACATATACCATACAGCACGGACATCGAGATGTTTTCAAATAACTTTGTATTGCAGACAATTTTTAACAATATCAAAGTGATTTTATAATGACTTTACTGAATGTCTTGCGAACAATTGTTTATTTAAGGAGATTTTTTTTTTTTTTTTTCATAACGATACGTACGTTCTATTTTGGATAATTTGATTTGCGTGCAGATGCCCACAGAGCCGCGCTCCTTGAGCGTGCGGGAAATGGAATTGATAAAAAAAAAGGATTTCATGATGTCGCCGTACAAGTCGGAAAGGGACAAGGTCATTAAAATCCACCGATGGAACGTAAGGGTATTTTTCAAACTGTTGGGTAAGTAACAACGAAAAGATTATTCAAACAAGAGACAAATGACCGACCGGTCACCCCTTGTTGATTTCTTTAACATTTTAATTTTTATTTTGCCGTTTCGTACAGACACTTTGGAAACGTTTTTCACAAAAGACAAATGCTGCCGACTGGCCGACAATTACTTGGTAGCCATGGTTTTCACTTACTTTTTACGAGGCTCGCTCGAAGCGGACGAGTACACAAGGGACAACTTTTTCGCGGCACTGTGAGCAAACGTGAATATATATTATCATGTTGGCAACCGCTCGTAGATGTAAAAAAATGAAATGTGCGTGAAAACGTTGCATTTAGGTTGCTCGCCTACAACATGGAAGAGGACGAGGGCGAGTTCTTGATGTTGGAGCTGGAAGAATGGCTCGAGTGCTCGATTCCAGATTTGAAACGGTTGCGCTCGGAGCTTTTCCAGCGTATCGAGTATCGCGGCGCGGTATCGCGCTTCTGCTGCGAAATTGTCATGAGACACGCCAAGCCCGAGCACAAGGTCTGGCAGAGGTGCCGGCACGTTTATCATTCGGGTGTTGTTAACGTCAAATCTTTTTTTATTGGACAGTGAGACACGCATTTACTTTGTATATTCCTAAACGTTGACCAATCAAATCGGTACGAGAATTTATTGATGAGATTGGTTGTTTCTTTTTATTTTCGTAGGTTTAAGGAGGAGGACATTTGTGGCATTTGCGAAGGAAAAAACGATTGTGAAAATTCATATTACGAGAGAGGAAAAGAAGAGGAAATAGAAACAGAAGAGGAAGAAAAAGAGAGTACATAACGCAATTTAGTATAAATAAAACGTTATTATTTATTATTCAAACGCGCTAAAATACATAATTATTAATTTACGACTAAAATCTCATTGTACATAAATGAAAAAAAAAAAAAACTTGATAAGCTATCGTTTTTAATAACTCAATGGCACTCTAGTTTACATGCCCACTTTAATTGTTAAAATAAGAATAAAAAAAGTTTTTCCAAAATATACACTCGTGTAAAAGGCGGTTTTTATAAAAACATTCAAGAGATTTATCCTAGTGCTTAAGTCAAGTAATTTCTATCACACGTTTTAATATTAAAAATTCATAAAAACTTAGTGTCTACTTATATGATTCGATTTCATAACGATTCTAGGACTCTGTCTTTTCGGCGTGATTGGCAATACGGCTTTCATTGGAGTTCGGCGCGAGCTTATTGTCAATCTTCTAGCCGATAAAGATTTGNGAAAATATTTGTCCGATGTTATTTTATAAATTATTGAATGATATTATAATAAAAAAATATAATTTCGAAAAGCTTTAAATATTACAAAAAATTTTCGTACTGCATCTACAGTCATGCATTAGATTAAAAATAGGACAAAAAAGAAATTTGAATCAAAATTCGTTTTTAGTTTTTTCATTTATTAATTAACTTCTAACTAGTTTTATCCGTTAATTAGTAAGAAAAATTTTTTATAAAGTGCTCAGATATGTGGAGATATTTAAAAACAGCTAGGGCGTTTATGAATTAAATGTTGAAAACATTATTATTGGAACAGACAATAAATAATTTAACATAAAAACTGTCTAGTACTACATATTTTGAATCACAAAAAATGTTAGATCATAAAGTGCCTTAAGTTTGAATAAAAATGCAATTACTACTTTGGAACTCGACCGTTGGAAGTCAAAGATCAAACCATCCACCTCATTTTCCACTTTGCATGTACCCTCATGTAACAATAAATAATCCTCATTTATAACCCATACGTCCCACTTTTGAACGATGAGTCAACGTAAAAACCGTTGCATCGCAAAACACCGTAAAATAGTCTCGCTCCAACAAATGTGTGGGCGATTCCACACAACAATAATTCATGTGCACTTTTAATGTCATTTCCAATGTGTATACATCGTAGGTACACGTAGATAAGTAATATAATTTATCTTCTATCTTCAGTATACGCTGAAGTAACTTGCAACAAAACTCAATAGCGTGTGCGTGTACGTATAGGAGAGCCTTTAACCCGAGAAACGAGCCAATCGCGTGGCGAAAGTGTCGAAGAAGCGCGTGCCAAGATTACTAATGAAAAAAAAAAAAAAAAAAAAAAAAAAAAATCACAGAAAGAGAGTACGTTTTCTTATCTCACCGGCGTAACAGGGAATCGGTAACGCTTGGCGAGACTATTTTCTTTCTCTCTTAGCGAGCCCGCTATATAACGCAGCCGCAAGCTCTCTTGGATGGACAGTTTGCTTTTGCACTTCTTGTGTATTTCACGTGTACGAGTGATTTCTCAGTGAACTAGAGATTTTAAAGTTTATACACGTCTCGAAGTGAGGCCTTTTTGAATTTCTATTCGAGTTATTGGATACATTGAAACTTACTTGTGTTTCGAAGTACTTAACACGTTTTGTCGTGCAGTGCGTCCATCATCATGAGTAAGTTTTTACTTTGAAATATTGGTTCTTGCATAAGATTGGTGCACAAAAATACATAAAATTAGAAAATTTTGAATTAAATATGCCCCTGTTTCGATTTAAATGTATGAATCGATTTATCATAGATTAGTGCTCTTCCGACACTAATGTTATATTATATTATTATATTATAATGTTATATTATAATATTAGACAACCAGTGACAAATACCTTGTTGTTTGGAATAAATTGTTATATATTCATGTTAAATTTAAATCAGGGATGGGGTGTGATTGGTTTTCAAATATTATGTGTTACATTTTTTTTTAATAGCGCACATTATTTTTGCTTGACACTGTTTTTTAATTACTAAGTACGAAAAGAGTTAAAAAAAGTCTTAAAATGCTTGAAATAAGTAGTATTAAGGAACATTAAAAATCATTACATTCGCTGTAAACATATTTTTTTATTTATCCAGATTGATTAAAATCATGAAAAATTTTTTTTCTACAAAAACATTGAATGTTACACAGAGAAAAAATCGCGGACTCGCCTCTGTTGGAGTATAATAATATTTAAATGTGTTAATAAAGTGTACTTATTGAATTACCAACAAGAATGAGAAATATAAAAGAAAAAAAAATTATAAAAATAAAAAGACAAAGTAAGAAAACATTAAGCATGTGGCAACAAGGAAGCGTAGTAGCAGTAAAATATCGAGAAATAGATGTATGTATACTGCATAGCGTATGAGAAAATAGATATCTGTAAAGAGAGTGCCACACTCGCAACTGAAAATCAGCACACGGTTCTTGAATTGTGCAATGCTTTGGGTCACGTCATATTCGAGTAAAGCACCTTCCAGCTACTTATTTGTGCATGAGCGTAGATGTAGGAATATAGAAACATAGATAGAACGTTAACAAAGACGACACAGCCAACCACTCTCTTTACTCGCCCCTCACTCTCTCTACTGCGGTTCTTAAAAGATGTCAAAAACAAAAATATACCCGCGGAAAGGATATACGAAATAAGAAACCATTACGGTGG